AACGGCCATAATCAATGCGAACTGTGCTGAAACTGTCAGCGAAGAATGCGTTGTAAGTAAATTTGCTTTTTTCCGTCGTTGGGTTAGAATTTAATAAAGTTTTCATTTTTTTTTAAAGAAAGCCAAAACCCTTTCCTTAATTGCGCTCACATGAAAGCAGATCATTCGGAAATAGTCTGAGTGATAACACTTACGAGCAGCAATCATCTGCTGGTGTTTTTAGGATGACGATGATGGCGTCCTGGATGAGCATTACCATTCAACAATTCTGCGAGCAGTGCAGTCGATTTTCGCTCATCTCCTTGGCTCCGAGTTGCAATTTTATTCGCCAAAATTCTTCTGGAAGCAGTTCCGGTACATTTAATTAGTTCAATTTCATATTCTCTTTCTTTGTTTCTTTTACACTTTTCATGCTCAAAAACTACTCGCTGAAACTTTTTGAAGTATTTGCACTGCACTGCGTGGGTGGGCATGACACAATCTCTGTTAGGTTTTGTGGTCAAGTGGTGAATGTTCGCGAGCAGCAAGATGCACTGGAATTTTACAATGCATTGTTTGACTCAATTGACGAGGGACTGAAAATATTGGGCGAACCTCGAATCTGCGAAAAATTGTTTGGCGGAACATTCGCTGACCAAAAAATATGCAAAGACTGCCCGCACAGGTACAATTTCTCCCTTATTTTCTACATACCAATATTTTCTACATACTTGACACTTCTGGTTTTTGTTACAATTTTCAGAAGAGGTCTTTTGGTGGTTTAAAACTGTTTAGTCCCTATCACCGTTACCTTTACTTTTGCTCTTAATGCAGGTATCAGCGCGAAGAGACATTCACATCGATCTCAGTTGACGTGCGATCTCATAACAACTTACTTGATTCCCTCAAGGAATACGTGAAGGGCGATATTCTGAATAACGATAATGCATATCTTTGCGAAGAATGCAATAAAAAAGTTGGTTTTCTAAAAATGTTTGTAATAAGTAAAATTTTGTTAGTTGACATGACGCAATGCTAAATTGGATTTTTCGTCAACCAGTTTTCTCATCCATTAACAGAAAATTTTTTGTTTTATTACAAAATTAGGAGGCTGGTCGATAGCAGATAACAAGGAAATTTGTTTTTAGGTGACAGCGGTGAAACGTTTATGTGTGGCCAGG